TGTGTGTGTGTGTGTGTGTGTGTGTACGGCTCACTGCCGCCTGGCTGTGTATCGGGTGGTGATGCGTGCAGAATAATAGTGCAGTTTATGTCGCTTTTTAACTGTGAATGTTTGTGTGCACTGTGTTGCTGGGGGTATATGTGTGGTGCTGTTTGTCCTCAAGGTCTTTCCCCACAGTGACCCCAGAGGCGGCTCTCATACAGAGAGACACACAGAGAGAGAGAAAGAGGGCGAGAGAGTGCCTTTGCTGTCCCCTCACACCCACACACTAATCATTTTATCTGGAAATTAAACACTTTTCCTCTCTTGACAAAGCTGCTTTCAGCTTCTTTCACCACTATTCTTCCACACTGATTTGTTTCTAAGATCAAAGGCACTTTTTTTTTTTTTAAAAGATGTCTATTTAGTGATTTGTGAACACTGTCCTAAACACACTGTTTTTCTTTATTTTCTTTTATTTTTGACGTAGGTCAATATATTCATTCCCCGTTCACTTTACTTCCAGGACTGAAATTCAGACCCTTCCTCTGCCCACAGTCGCACACATGCACATATTTATTTACTACATCGCACCAGGAAATTGGTGTCCGTCTTCTTAAGCCAAACAGAAAAAACTCACCCTCTTTTTCTCTCTCTTTTCCAGGGGCCGAGGGCGAACAACATCGTGGTATTCCCCTTACTAAACACCCTCCCCCCCATCCCAAATACTTCCTTACTATCAAACCTCTCCCCCTATTTCTGTTCCCATATTAAAAAAATACAAACACACACAATGAAAAAGTCCTTTCCCTTTCCCCAACAATAAAAGAAGAGAACCCCAGAAGAGAGAAAAAAAGACAAAAAAGGAAAAAAAAACCAAAAACAAAAACACACTTCTCCTGGACAGAGAGACTGGCTGGCCGCAGTGTGAGATTGTGTGTGAGCGTGCTTGTGCAGAGGTTGATGCGGTCACCCCTGGTAAGGTATACATTGGCCTCTTGGGGGAGGGAGGGGAGGATTACTATGGCAGTGTTTGTTTTGTTTTTTGTTTTTGGAAGAGGGAGGAAAGGTGGGGATGAGGTATCTGGGGGGGGATGATGGTATCTCAATCTCAGGCTGCAGATGTGTCTCCTTTGGTCTGGCTGTGACCTCCTGCTTTCACACCATCATCAACACAGCCCACCCACTCACCACCGCCTCCACAGCAGGGGGGGGAAGAGAGAAAAAAAAAAAAACATACACAAGAATTCACACTGTTCTCTTTTTTCTTTTTTTTTAATGTAACATAGATATGTGAAACTTACATTAGCTATCAAATATTTGTGTTACGTTTGTGGTTTGGAGTTTGTCATTACCTGCTCGCACCCTCTCCGACCCCTTGTGTGTCTCCCATTCTCTGCCCCCTCTTAACCCTCCTCCCCCCACCCTTGATTTATTTTTTTTCTAACGTTTCCTCCCCTCCAACCTCTCTTCCTTTCATCACAACATGGATTATGTTGTGTGCTGTCAGCTTGATCTGTGGACAGTGATGGACCTTCAGTGTTCAGTGGAGTTGTATTTCTTTTTGTTTTGGGGTGTTTTTTTTTTGTGGGGGGGTTATTGGTTGTGCTGCCACATCCTTGCCGCTCGTCCATCCTTGTCACCTTCAACTCAGGCATGGCTACAGCTCTTTCTTTTTTTCCTTTCCTTTTTTTTGTTGTTTTTTTGTAAATTCTTTTGACAGGCATCTACTGTTTTTACTCTTTATTTTCGTGCAATCCCTCCCCCTCCCGCCCCTTTGTTCTTCCCCTCCTTCCCTTTGTGCACCTTGTCCCCTCCCCCCTCCTCTCTCTGTATATTAGACCACTTCTTGTCGTTTCAGGTTTCAGGACCAGTGGAGGCTGACAACCCCTCCCCAGGTGGCGCCGGCCCCTCCCACTGTCTCTGCAGCATCTCTCTCTCTCTCTGCTCCCGCTATGCACACTCACCCCATCCTGTCAGTGTGGGGGGGCGGGGGAGGGGGACAGGGCGACCACAGGCCCGCCGCGGGGGGCATTTACTACAACAGCAAACGCTGATGACGCTTTTAGTCCTTTTCACACTTCAAATGTCTCACACACACACACACACACACACACACACACCTGTTCAACATGCACCGCAGCACACGGCAGTACAGATGGCACTTAACAGGCAGCCAACCCAACACATGATTTATATACAGAGAGCTGAAGCCAACATAGCTGAGTGGCAGGCAGGTTTGCTTGAGAGCGAGGAAGGCAGGACCAGAGACGAGGGTGTTTTTTGGGGCGCCCCCTTTCTCTGACTACGCGCAGTGCAGTCACGGCTTGTCTGAGGAAGGCCGACGAGCTAACAGCATCGATTATTAATTAAATGAAAGGAGTGGGCTGGAGTTGTTATTTTAGAATGGGGGAAGTCAGGGGTGGGGTTTGTGTGGAGACTTTTTTTTTTTTTCCTTTTCTTTTTGAAAAGGGGAAGGGGGTTTGAACAAATGTTTTGCTTTTTTTTTATTTTTATTTTTAACCCATGAGTCTGTAATTAGAAAAAAAAAATAAAAAAATTGTGTAAAAAGTAAGTGTGCATGTGTGCGTTTATTTGAATTTTACACCAATTCAAGGTATTTAAATGTAATTAACAGTATTCAGCATGCATTATTTAGGTGGTACTTCCAGGAAGTAATGGGAGGTGTGGCTTTATTTTCAGAATGAATCATTTAATTCTAGTCAGTCATTAAAATACCAACAGCTCCTGAGGTTATGAGGCATGACGTTACTTGGGTGTATAATATACTGTATATATAATGTCCAGCAGTTGTGCAGCTTTGTCCAGGCTGACTGGGCTTTCTGTTAGACCCAAGTTGACTGCATACTACTTCCCCCATATCATCACAGGTCCCTCGGTAGGGGTTTACTACAAAAAGTTGCACTGTTTTTGTATGGCGTTATTTTTGTGCCACTATTCTGAGCGCACGTAAAAAAAAAAGGAAAAGAAAAAATTGCAGTTGCAAGTGTTGCATTTTGAGGAGAAATTTATTTTGAAAACGTTTAGAGCACTTGTGCAAATATGTGATGTCTTGATGAATCGAGCAGATATTTGAAGTTTACACAGCACCATTCTCGCATGAAAATATCTTAAAAGTTTATTTTGTGACCCAGAAAGAGTAATATTTCAAACTCCGCCACTCTGTGTTCCTCCGCCACTGCCTCGTTTGAGTTTTGGACGAAATGGATTCTGGGATATTGCATTTCGTCATTTCGAGCTGATTGGAGACCAAAACAGCCAATCAGATTTTTTTGCATCCAAGTCTGTGATTGGCTGGTTTTGTGGCACAAATATAACGGTGTACAGAAAGAGTTGAGCGCGCACGGGCAGAAATGTTGAGAGCGCAAGCAACACATTGCGAGCAGCGCAAATGCAAAAACTGAGCGAGAGGGGCTGCTATGTGTGTGTGTGTATGGATAATAGCAAACACTGAAATACATTTTTTGCACGCAGCAATGAATTTTGTTCACTCAAATTTAGCTTTTCTTCGCTCAAAATAAATTTCTCCTCAAAATGCAACACTTGCACCTGCAATTTTTTTTACGTGCGCTCAGAATAGTGGCACAAAAATAACGCCATATTTTTCCAATTAACATTACAAGGGCCAGTTTATTTTGAGTGGGCAACATGACTGCCCTCTACTGGTGACATGAGGAAAAAAGGTCTTACAATGCATTCACTGTAGGATACAGGTCATGAGGAATGGTTTCTTTATTACGATGTTTACAGAGACTTTATAACAATTAGCTGCTGGTAACATCCTCTGACATGCTGTCCTCAGGTCTAGTTGCGTTTCTTGAAAGCTGAGGAGAAAAAAAAGGACTGCTGCATTTTATTTGAATAAAGAGAAATTTTTAATACTAGTTCACAGGTTAATTTGGTCTCGTGGTATTTCAAAGTCCTTACCTTTTCTTTTGGTTTTCTTCTTCATGATTTTCTTCTTTTTCTTGGGTCGTGGGTTATCCCCATCCTGCACGTACACAGAAAATGCATCAAAACCACATTAAGACTGTAATCTAAATAAAACTGAGCCACAAAGCTACCATTCATACTGTACAAAGATGGGCCTGTTAGCAACACTTTGTAGCTACTCATGGTGCCCAGGACAAAATCTAAACATAGCACATCGATTTTCCAAGACTTCCTAAATACACACAGGGGTTTTTCCACATCTGCAGGCAGGAGAGAAGACTATCGGCAAGAGGCTGAGCGGCCATTACTCTTGACTTATTAGTGCTTTTTATGACAGCAGACAGTTAATTAAGACAAGAAACAGAACAGAGCCACAGCATGCCAAACCTATGTAGGCACGAAGTGTAGCTGTTGCCAGCAGTACTGCACCAGACAACTGAGTCACCACAGCACTCAGCATTTTAAGGTAAACATTCCAAACCTCTTGAAAATATCCAACTGGAGCCTTCTGTCCGATTGTGTGCTGGTAGCAGCTCAGGTTTAATCCCAGTCAGTATAAATTATGAAGTCTCAGTTCGGTTTAGAGATTAACCAATAAACAAGGCAGAAGCTCAAAACCAAAATACAATAACGCAAACACACCTGCATCGCCTCGCCACTGGTCAGAGCTGTGATGTCACCAAAGTGTGTTATACTGCTCAGCTGGTTGGACATGGCCATCATGCCCCTCTTCTTGGCGTTCCTCTGATGCTTCGGCACATTGAGACGCACCATCATCGACTCCTCGTAGTTCTTCCTGTGTTGAGGTAAACACATACCATTTACACAAACCACCAAGCAAAGAAAAAAGAAAGATGATGCTGCAAGGTCTTGACTGAAAGACCCCTCAGCACTGTATCACCCCAGTAGAGCTCTTTACTCTGAGACTGCTGGTTTACTTGCACTTCCCAGGACATTTAAAAGTATAATGGGAGGCAGAGCATTCAGCTTTCAGGCCCCTCTTCTGTGAAACCAGCTCCCAGTCTAGATTTTATGTGATTATACACCTCTATGCATTTAATTACTAGTTGTTATTAATCTCTAATGTATTTTGACTTGTCTTTCTCCCTTCACTCTGAGCCTGGTTCTTCTGGAGAGTTCTTCCCTTTTAAGGGATTTTTTCCTTCCCACTGTTGCCAAATGCTTGTTCACAAGGCCTTCTCTGACTACTGGGTTTTTTTCTGTATTATTGTAGGGTCTTTAAATCACAATATGAAGTACCCTGAAGTGACTGGTGGGATATTCTGCTGTAGAAATAAAACTGAATTCAATTAGAAGTTTATCTCACAACACTTCCCATCTAAATCAAGTAGCAGACATTATGACCACCTAACACCCTTCTGTGTGTAAAGTAAATGAGCAGGAACCTGTGGAGCTCCTCGCGACTCTCCCGCTCGCTCTGGAAGTCCCGTTTGTCTCTGATCTCCTCTGGGGCGTCGCTGTACTGCTGCCTCAGCTCCTGGATCACAGAACTTCGGAGTGCTGCTTGTCGATGACGCTCCAGCTTGGCCTTTTTCTTGTCTGCCTCTGTCATGTCACCATCTGGATGTAACGGGTTTATTTTTTGGTTAACAAACAAGCAGGAGAAGAAAAAAAAAAAAATTATAAGCTTGCTATAACAATCCCCCCCCCACCCAAAAAACCCCCAACAACAACAACAACAAAAAAAACCCTATAAAAAAAACCCAAAGCAGTATTGAAGTACTTTATAAAGCAGACCGGTGACATTACCATAATGCACTGGGGCAATCTTTGGTGGTATATATTTCTTGCCACTAGAGTGGGCTGCTTTCTTTTCTGAAGCTGCCTCGTTCTCTGTTTCGTCTTCAGACTCAGATTCACTGAGCTGCAAAAAAACAAACAAGCATTTATCTTTCCTACTAATACAGGAAGCTGATGTTTGGATGCATGTGTTTACAGTTTGATAATGTGACGGTAAAAGAAGTAACCGGAGCCGTTGTGTTACTCTGGTCTTACTTTGCTGACGAGATTCTCTGGATTGGGACGCAGCTGCAGTGGGTCATTTTCAGCTGAAATCAACAAAAACATCAGACACGGTTACGCCTACCATAAGTGAATAAATGCAAATCTTGCTGTGCATTGAATCTGATATGCATCCTTTCAGTCAAAGCTTTCCTAGACTGCACAGTTCTAAAAATCTGATCACTTCGGTCTTACCTAAACTGCCGGTAACAGCCGTGCGCACGAGCTTATCAATCTGATACTTCAGTTTGTGGTCTAGAGGTCGCATCTTCTCCAGGATCTTCAAATAAACAACAACAAATCAAGATTAAAATAACACATGTTGACTGCAGAGAAATCGAACAGCGTCACTTTTACAGCCTCTTACCGTTCTGATTGTGACCACTCGGTCTAAGGCATCACTGTCTTTTATTTTGCCTCCTTCCATCTTGATGCTGATCAGGTGAGTGAGGTCCTGGAGATAGAAGAGCAGCAGGTGGTACCGAAGGTCCAAAAAAGACAAACCCTGCAGGAGGAGAAGGCAGACAGATGGTCAGAAAGGCCTACAGACTGCACTTATTTCCCTGATCTAGAGAAATGAGAAATCCTGCAGCAAGTGTGTCAATACTTTTATTTAACACAGCCTCATTAAAGAGGATGTATCAGTCTTGCCTGCTCCTTTCAAACCAAACTGCACTTTGGTCAGATTACCGTAAAGACTGGACCTGAGGAGAACTAGCATTTCAAATAGTCGTTACGCACCTTCGACGTTTCCAATGCCCCATCTTTGACTTTAGTCAGCAGCTCACGGACAAGACCCGTCACCGAGGCCACCTAAAAACAAAACTTAGATTTATCTCTTTATTACGGCCACAAACACACATTATTTCTGAGTTAAACTAAACATTACGGGATTATTCTTTTTGTTTTTAAGTTCTTACCTGTTCAGTGAGATTATTCAGCAGCTCTACAGCTTTGGGCAAATCGCTTTCAATCAAATCCTAGAAAGCAGTTAAATTACATGTAAGAGATACAGTATCAGAATTTGTAAACAGTGTCAGTACTGAAATACCAGCTATTCGACATAAATGTTTGTTAGCTAGTGGCTAGCCTGACGAGCTAGCCACTAGCTAACAAACCGCTGTGGTCCTCTTTAGAGCACCGAGAAGCGTTTTCGTATATTTGTACATACTAAAGTATAATGTTCTGTATGTAAACACGATATAACGGCTTAATATATAACAAGGAGCTAACTCAATTTTACTCACGTTGTCAACAGGAGCAGCCATTTTAACGCCACTGTACCCTACCCACTGTACCCTACGGAAGCCGCAGCGGGACAGTAGTGATAGCTCTAAAACGGTTACAGATGTTACTACTGAGTGAGGCAAAAGAATGGGACACCAGTAGCTTAAATCACTTCTATATTACATCTATCCATCGTGTAGTGTTTTACATACTGAACGGGCCTGGGTGTTCAACAGGGCCCGTCAGCCGTGGCAAATTGATGTAATCATTTTTAAAGCACACACTGATAGTATTTGTTTTGAGGAAATCGGGTAAAAGTGCAAAGTTTGGTGTCTGTACATAAACAGCTGCTGAAATTTGAACTTGTTAGATTTGCTGTGCCCTGTGAGTCTGCAGAGCATCCTTGGGGGAAGCATAACCAAGCAATAGTTCAGGGTTCTCTGATTCAGCCCAATCACAAGTTTGATCACAATCAGAAAACTGAATCTAATCTTAAAAGTGGAGAAAGTGTCTGTCTCCTCAACCCCACACGAGAGCTAATTCCAAAATGGCATCACAAGGAAGCCCGCTAAGTTCAAATAAAATGCTCTGACTGAAAATAGGATATGATTAGGTAATCCTGATATGATGGAGATTGGTTATTTACGAGCATATATGTGAGGATTTTCACAGAACTGAATAAAGCTAGGGGACCAGTATGATCTATCGCTCTAGTCCCAGTTAATACTCTCCCTGTGGCATTTTAGATCTGCTGAAGGCTTTTCAGAGAGCCATTAGAACAACATAATATGGAATAAAAGCAATCCAGCAGTCATCCAGGACTTCATGGTTTTAACTGGATGTTAGTGATTTGGGTTTCTCTCCAGCCGTGGAGATAAATATAACTGGGTGTCATCTGTATGCAGTGTTGGAGTGCCTAAGGGTTATATGTATACCATGAAAAGCACCGGGCCCAGCACAGGACCCTGAGAACCACCATGAGTAACTTTAAGGTGTAAAGAAGGCTCATCGTCTTTATAAACAATTTAGAATCTATTCAAACAAGTGCCACACATTTTCTTTAATCCCAGTGACGTTCCACTCTCTGTGCTCTCATTGTGTTGTGACCAGTGGTTTGACATTGTGCTGAGGTCCAGTGTGCTGTGTCCGTGTTATGGTGACCTAGAATTCCTGATGGAAACCCATCAGATATGATCTGCAACTGCATCAAGGCTTAATCATCATCATCATCGCCTTTATTTATAAAGCACTTTAAAACAAAAACAGGCTTATAAGAAGGAGTTAAACAACACCAGCCTCAAAGCCTTAAATGTTGATGGTTTTGATGAAGTTACTTCAGAGAAGCTTGTCTATTGCTGTGAAGAAGGCTTCAGGAAATTATTCCTGCTGTTCTCCATAAAACTCTGCAATAACTCTTGCTTCTGTGACGGATGAACTCACCTGTCGGGCACAAGAATCCACACACAAACTTCTGCATTACAGCTTCATTCAGCTGTTTCTTAGATTTAGAGTGTTTACATTATTTCTTAATCCAATTTGCACTACTCTCTTGCACAATCACAGTCATACTACGTACTATGTATGTGTATATATGTGTGAAATCTTTGCACTAGTATTTTATTCTTTATCCAGCTGCTGTAACACAATAATTTAACCTTATGGGATCACTTAAGTATCTGTGCAGAGGAGATGGTGTAAATGTAAAAGAAATGGGAACACTTCTTTGTTTCTTTTTGTTAATTTAAGTGTGTATGTGTGTGTGTGTTTGTGTGTGTGACAGAGGGGGAGAGAGAGAGAGAGAGAGGCAGGGAGAGAGAGAGAGGGGAAGTGATTGTGATAATTGAGGGCCACCTGTCTATCTCCTGTCTTTCAGAGCACTGTCAGCCACACAGCCTGAGGAGGACCTAAAGAGTATCCTGAGAGTTTGTGGAGCAATCGGTCATGGTAAGTGAAACTGTAACTTTGTGAATTTGTGGAGAAATTTGAGCAAATCGGTGAGAAATGCAACCTTACCGAAGCGTCAGGGAAGACGAAGCGCGCAAGAGATTCGACGTTTCTTTGAAATCATGAGGAAGAAGAGCTCGACAGTGGCATGAAATAATTTACTTTTTCAATATAGTTTGTAGTCTATGATGCAAAGACTGTACGTTTAAAAGAGAAGAGGGAGGGTAAAGAGAAGATGGCAATAGCAGCTTACAAACTAAGGCTCACAGCAGTGCTGTCAGAGTGTTTCCACGATTTATTTGTAGTTTAATTTATTATGATGCTGTTTGATTTTGTGTTAGGGTGTATCTGAGTGTAGTAACCTTTAAAATAGAAGAACGTGTGTACTGTGGCAGAAACATCCCCATTTACCATCAGCGGTGGAAGAAACACTGAAATCTTCTTTCTGAAGATGCCACACCTAAATAACTTCTTTATCCGTCTTACATCACTCAAAAAAAAAGCAAGCAGGCAGTGTAAGGTTGAACGAACGAGCATGTTCAACGTGTAGCATCAGGACAGAATGTGTGACCGCGTAATTAAGCAAGTCAGTGTTTTGTGTTGCTGAAAGTTTGTTTTATATATTGTAGTTAATTGACAGCAGCATTCAAGCAGTATATGTATTTTTTAATGCTTAAAGTATTAAATGAGTGTTGGAAGTAAACCGAATCTTCCTCTGTCTTCTTCTACAGATGTCTGATTCCAGGGTGTCCTCGGTCATCCAGGAGTGGGTGAGCTCCTTCCCAGGTCAGGTGCACAGCCAGACCCTCAATTCTGTTGCTTCCAACTCGGCTGCTTCCACCAATCAGATGACGCAGATGGACATGATCTCGTACGGCCAGTCTCAGGGGATGATAAGGGGGGGTGGCGATGACAGAGGGGCCGAGCAGATGATGGGACTATCGTATCTGCCGTACCCGCCGTCCTGCCTTGGCAGCGCCGCCAGCCCGGTGAGCACAAACCACCACCAGAGCCACGCCAGTACTCAGCAGGTGAGAGAAGCATTTAACAGCAGGTCACGAAGTGTTTCATACAAACCACACTCACCCACCCCACTCTCCCACGGCTTTAACGCATGTGTGCTGCTCACTCCAGGACTTCTCCCCCTTCCTCCTGCCCACTCTGCGGGCCCCGGTGACCAAGAGGAGCATCAGCAAGGATAGCGCAGAGTACCGCCTGAGGCGTGAGAGAAACAACATCGCGGTGAGGAAGAGCAGGGACAAAGCCCGCAGGAGGATCCTGATGACCCAGCAGAGGGCCGGCCAGCTGCAGGAGGAAAACCAGAAGCTGCAGATGAGGATAGCACAGCTGACACAGGAGCTGGACACTCTGAAACACATCCTGTCACAGCGGCACCTGCAGGCAGCCGAGGAGGGAGCAGCCGGGCAGTCCAGCATCTGAGCACAGCCCGAAGCCTCGTTTGTACCTGATGTTAACGCCTGATTACAGGCTTCACAGTGTGCCTCAGTAAGGCATGCGAGAGTCACCGTGAAGCACCTGTTCGAGCATTTTCACCAACAAACATTTGTGATCATGACAAAGTCACTTAGAGGAGGTAATGCTGGGTATAAAAGTGGTTAACTGTAGTTTTATATTGTAAAGGAAACCATAGCTTACTGGCAGTGTTGTAGCTACTATTTAGTACACCGATGTCCACATTTTTAATTGTTCTCTTACCCCCAAACTTTACATTTCTGCACCTCACATGTTGAGCGTAAAAGATTCAAAATGGCAAAATGAACACTTCCAATCTGCTGAGAGCTTTGATACACTCTGACACATTCAGGGTCACACAAAAGGAGAACTGCACTAAATGTAGCTTCTCATGACAAGCACCCAAGATTATCTGCTGAAGTAGACTAACGCCTTCAGACAACTCGTTTTGTGATATATAAATAAAATGAACTGAAGTGAATTATAATGACTGCTGCAGGAGGTGGGCTTTATGATCTGTATGTAACTAATGCTAACCTGCTAACCTGATGCTACTGTTAAAGTGCATCCTGTCGTACTCTTGGTAGCTAAGCTAAGCGTTAGTTAGCTAAACCTTACCAAACCTTTGCTTTAAAATGAGAGTTTATGGGGTTGTAAAGGCTAATAATGATAATAATGATAATAATAACAACAATAATATTATAGTCAAAGGAGCTTGGAAAGAAAAGCGTCTGGACTTCTTTAAGTTGCTTGAAGACGTTTCACCTCTCATCCGAGAAGCTTCTTCAGTTTCACCTCTCGGATGAGAGGTGAAACGTCTTCAAGCAACTTAAAGAAGTCCAGACGCTTTTCTTTCCAAGCTCCTTTGACTACGATGACCTGGATGACTGAGAACCTTCACAGAAATAATATTATACCATCCTCCATTTTTATTGAATATAGAACATGTAGATACACTGGCTACTGATACACCTCCTGTGATTGGACAATCAAAGTCAGTGAGTGTAGTTTAGTGTAGGAAAACAGCATGTTTTGTTGGAAATTAGATCAGTAGAAAAATGAAATCAATTGGAATAATAAAAGTTTGGCTAATAAATAGCCTCAGTAGCTATGATGCTGCACAGCAGCGTTTTTAGGTACTGTTACTCTTTGGTCTGAATGTAGAGGCTATTTATTTTCTAATGCAGGAACTTGAGGCACACAGCAAAAAAAGAAAAAAAAAAGAGACAGAGTCAATAGCGAATTTTAGTCATGTGATGGAGGACTTGAGTTTAAACTAAAATGCAGGTGTAGATATAATAAAAGGTAAAACAGTGCGCTGAAGGACACAACCTGGTCATTTGTTTATCTCCAGATTGGAGATGGTGGTTCCTGTTCACATATGGGTATAACTCGTGGACCCCTTTAAACAACGGGGGGGAAAAAGAGTCCCGCTATGTGCGTTGGACCGGCAGGATATGATTTGATTTAATAAACATTGCCTAATCATCTACCTGACTTTTACCGTCTTCGTCAGAGCTGATTGTAAGTGTTGTTGCCCAACGGAGTTGCACAACAACCTGTGGTTTGAAGAGGATTCGATGAAACAGAGAAAAGAGCCTCTCTCTTCTAAAATACAGCATCAATCACCAGTAAATACATGTGTGACTACTTGAATGTTTTCAAATGTGTAGCGAGTAATACACTGTTAAAGTGAAACGTTGCAGTGCTGCCAAATGTTTTTTTTAAATAAATAAATGATTGCTTGTGCCTATATGAAGTCATTGTCCTCTATGTGTCATGTTATCTGAATACACA